CTACATCAAAACTAGGTTTTTACGAATTCACATCAATGACATACAGTAAATGCAAGCCGTGGATTCTCACTTTTACAATTTTCTTTTTTTGCATGTCTTAAATAATTTTCCAACTATGACGTGTCTATTGTGTAGGTCATGAATGCCAATAATGATGATTTTTTTATAGCTTGCAATGTTAGCCATAAATAATAAAACTTTCTATGACGTGCATATGGCATGCCGTTAATACATTAACTATACACAACACGTGTACAACATGTCATGTATAAGTCTTACCAATTTTAGATTTAAAATTGCCATGATGATTAGTAGAGGTCAGGTGTTGTGGGTGCGTAAAACATTCCTATCTTGTACCTAAGTCCCATAATCAAATTCTCTGGTAATGATTGATCAGTTGCTTTTAGGGAGTCATTTTATGATTCTTGGTCTTTAAAACCAAGTGGAGACTTTGATTTTGGATTATTTCACTGCAACAAAACTAGGTTTTTACAAATTCACATCAATGACATACAGTAAATGTAAGTCGTGGTTTCTCACTTTTATAACTTTCTTTTTTTGCATGTCGTAAATAATTTTCCAACCACGACGTGTCTATTGCGTAGGTCATGAATGCTAATAACAATAATTTTTTTATAGCTTTCAATGTTAGCCATAAATAATAAAACTTTCTATGATGTGCATATAGCATGCCGTTAATACATTAACTATACACGACACGTGTACACAAGTTATTAAAAATATTGAACATTTCACAACGCACAAAAAGCCAATCATTAAAAATTACACTTTTCACGACACAAAAAAAAACTTATTATTTAAAATATTGCACTTTCCACTATATGCAATTGCTATCGTGAAAGGTGAGATCGAAAAATAAATAAATAAATAAGTAAATAAATAAAATAAAATTAAACACAAAAAAAAAATTAAAAAATAATAATCAAAACCCTAAATCTTCATCTCTAACATCCTCTATTTCTCTCTTAGCGCTCTCTCTCTCTCTCTCTCTCATTCTCTCTAAGTCTCCATCTATTACTTTGGGTTCGTTTGGTTTGTATCTCTGAAAAATTTTTGAGAAATTTTCTATACAAATAAGTTTTTAAAAGTAATCAAACCAAATAAATTTTTCTAAAAAAATTTCTCAAAACTTGTAAACCAAACAAGTTTTCCAAACAAATCTCTCTCTCACACACATCAAATCAATCACTTTTTCCAAAACTCTCTCTCAAAATAATTTTTTAAAACATCTTTTGAAAAAAATCAAACCAAACAACTTTTCGTACTTTTTATCTTTAAAACACATCTATCAAACACAAACCAAACATACAATAGGCCACATTCAACACCAAAAAGCTATTACACCTCTCGATTTGCCTCAAAAATCATCAAGCCCTAACACATCTCTCTCTCTCTCCCTCTCTGTCTCGACAATGGCAAGCACTTTCTTTTCCAATTTCCATTACTCCGACAGCCTAACCATCGTCAAAATCTCCGTCTACACCACCATAGTTTGCGAGGCGGTCTCATGGGTTCTAATCTACTGAGCAACCTCCTACAAGTCCCTCAAATCTTCCATCGACAAAGCTTCAAAGAAGCTCGAGACCATGAAGACCGACTCTAACGCTTCCAAGCTCAGCCTCAAGAAGTCCAAGACCAAGAAGATCGATCGCATTGAGTCCAGCTGTGATCTCTCTCTCTCTCTCTCTCTCTCTCTCTCTCTTCAAGTTCAAATCTAGCGCTGTTATCACTCTCGTCCTCTTCGGCCTCTTGAGCTCTCTCTTCGAATGCAAGGCCGTCGCGAAACTTTCCTTTCTTCCTACCAGAATTGTCCAGAAGATGAGCCACAAAGGCTTGCAAGGGAAAGATCCGACTTATTGTTCTACGGCATTTTTGTACTTTCTGTGTTCGATTAGTATTCGGACCAATTTGCAGAAGTTTTTAGGGTTTTTGCCACCAAGAGGTGTCGCTAGAGCAGGGCATTTCCCAAATCCAGATCCCAAGAGCAATTGATTTAATCCAAATCCTAATTGATCAATTTTGGGTACCCTACTTCCTTCTTAGTTATTCTGAAATTTTTAGTTTTGGTTGTGTAATTGAGGGATTTTCTAATGAGTACTTGAATTGATTTTAATTCAAATAGAATTTATTGATTTATCTGATACTTGATCTTTAAATATATCCTTTGCTAGGGCTACATGTGTATGTGCAGTTGTGCACTATACAATTTTGATGATATTGGTGTCAAAGTTATTTGATTGATTCTAATTGGTTTTATGGTCATGATGCTTTAAGTTTTGTGATTATTCTTGTAAGAATATAGAAATATGGAGAGAAGAGCTCGAGTAAAATTAGTAGCACTAAAATTGAATGTATGGAATGTAATTTTAGTAACAATACGAGTAAAAATAATCGAAAAGTGAGGATTGAAACTAAAAGACAACAAAGAGTGAATATTTTCGTTACTTGAGTCCAATTATTGAAAAGATGGAGAAGTTGAATACAATGTGATCTATAGAATAGAAGTATGTTGTTGACTTCTGACATATTATGTGATCAATGAATACTAACAAAATTGAAAAGAAAATCTTATAGTAAAGTTATTATGCCATCCTAATAGCTAGATCTTATTGGATTGTGGAGTTAATTCGATCCTGCTTGATCCAATTTTTAAGTCATGCTTTTTCTGTATGTGACTTGTTTATTCAATCATTGTTGTAATTAGGCATAAGTAGAGATTTGAAGGAAAGTTACTAACATCTGCATCTCTCGTCGTAATCCACTCCACACTTTCCAACTAGACTTTGTCAGTTTTGCATTCAAATTTCAGAAGATATCTTAAATTGAGTTATATACTTGTTGCATAGCTGCTGTCTGTTTGCTGAGAAAACAGAGGAAGCTGGAAAGAAAATGAATTTTCATAGGCAATGGTTATTTAGATATATCAATCGATTGGGGCTTGATTGGCTTGGTCTTTAACTGAGGTCATCTAAGTGGAATTTATTGCTTGGCTCTTCATCCGACTATTGACATTCTGCTCATTGGAGGTCGTGACTCTGTTTGTCAGGTATGATTCATTACCACATATAAGTTACAGCACACAATGTTATTTTTGTAGTATTTCAAGCTCTCCTTAAAGTGCATATAAAATTTGAATTTAATCTAGAAAGATTATTCCCTTACTTGGATGATACATCATGCTTTCAGGTCTGGGATATCTGTAGCAAGATGCAAATTCATGTACTAACTGGGCATGAGAACACCGTTTGCTCAGTTTTTACTCGACCTACGGTAGGCAAAACCTTTTCTGTGGTGGAGGAGAAATGATGGTTTAAATTAACATAGGCACACTTTTTTTTTTTTGCTTTGTTTTTTTCCTCGTTTCTTGTGAAATTATTATTGTAGTATGCAGAGTTATTTCCATTAAATTTAGACCATATAGTAGTTTTTGACAGTTTTTACTGGTCCTCTTATCGAAGCTTTCATAAGATATATGTAGGACACTTTCATGGCAATGATTAGTTTGTCAAACACATCAATACCTGTCCGATGTTTACAAAAGGTTTCAGTACTGTTTTCTTGATTGTGATTGTTTACTTTAGGTTTTTCCAGATGAAAAATAAAAGTTAGAACAAAGTTAAATGCGTATGATTGTCATTGCAAATTCATACATAAGCACACGTTTATTGCTCTCTGCCTACTACCATTTTGAGACACTATGGACTCGACAAGTATGGTGCCTTGTATCTGTGACATTTGTGTGTCCATGATCACAAATCATATCTTGAAAGTGAGATTCTAGTGATTTAGGTTGAGGTTTGTATATATAGTTATTCTTTATTACGTTGATTACAAGGGAAGCATTAATAGTTTGGTAAAATGAAGCTTGCCGCTTATGGGTAAATAAACTTTTGGAATAATGGTGGTTGTGAAAAGAGAGTTAACTTGAAGATAATTGCATATGAGCTAAGAAGGTGAAATCATAAAATTTTTAAAAGTATTTTTAGATGCTGCTGTATGTGCCTAGTTGGAATTATGAGGACTCCATTCTGAAGGTTGACAACTGTTAGCACGTATGTTGAGCTATTCTAAATGCATTAGTTCTAAAATAAAATTGCATGTGCTGCTTAAAATGTATTTTGTACCTCTAGACTCAATAAAATTGTGACAGAATCTTATGGGAGAGAAATTGTATAAAAATTTTGAGTGGCTTCAACATTAGAATGTCTTTCTGTTGGACAATTTTCACTGTATTTAAATTAATTAAATTCTGTTGTGTACTAAACAACAACCAGAATATAAAGAAATAAAGAAAAGGAGAGAATATGTTTGATTACAAAAATCAAACTTGAAATAAAAATATATAAATAAAAAAAACAGATTTTATTTTGTTACAAAAACAAAATTAAAATCTGAATAAATAAACAAATAAAAAACAACACTGAAAGTAAATTAAATAACTTACTTGATTTAATTTCTTCGAATTATTTTTCTGATCAAGTCCAGTGTTTGACACTGTGTCTTTAAGACAGATTCGTCCTCTCCATGGTCCTTTCAGAATTTGGACGTCTATCTCCCAGGATGAAATGATCTACCACAAACAATAGCAGTACTACAAATTGTTTGCCTTACGAACACACTAAGTGTTTACACTTTTTCTTTCGGAAATAAAATGTAGCAAGATGAAGAATAGAATTAACAAAGGTGAAATACGAAATTTCTGAATGAAAAACATCAAATGAGGGTGGTCCTATTTATAGATGTGAAAGTGGCTCTTGGTTTTGAATTAAACAGGTATGTGACTCTTGGTTTTGAATTGAACAGGTATCATACCTGTTGGGTTTTGAATTCAAACAGATAGTAAAACGGGAAGGGCCCTGTTTAGGTGTGCACTAATTCCAAAACAGTTTATTTCTGTTTGAAACCGGGAAGGGCCCTGTTTGGGTGTGCACTAATTCCAAAACAGTTTATTTCTGTTTGAGAACGGGAAGGGCAGAAGATATCTTAAATTGAGTTATATACTTGTTGCATAGCTGCTGTCTGTTTGCTGAGAAAACAGAGGAAGCTGGAAAGAAAATGAATTTTCATAGGCAATGGTTATTTAGATATATCAATCGATTGGGGCTTGATTGGCTTGGTCTTTAACTGAGGTCATCTGAGTGGAATTTATTGCTTGGCTCTTCATACGACTATTGACATTCTGCTCATTGGAGGTCGTGACTCTGTTTGTCGGGTATGATTCATTACCACATATAAGTTACAGCACACAACGTTATTTTTGTAGTATTTCAAGCTCTCCTTAAAGTGCATATAAAATTTGAATTTAATCTAGAAAGCTTATTCTCTTACTTGGATGATACATCATGCTTTCAGGTCTGGGATATCCGTAGCAAGATGCAAATTCATGCACTGTCTGGGCATGAGAACACCGTTTGCTCAGTTTTTACTCGACCTACGGTGGGCAAAACCTTTTCTGTGGTGGAGGAGAAATGATGGTTTAAATTAACATAGGCACACTTTTTTTTTTGCTTTGTTTTTTTCCTCGTTTCTTATGAAATTATTATTGTAGTGTGCAGAGTTATTTCGATTAAATTTTGACCATATAGTAGATTTTGACAGTTTTTACTAGTCCTCTTATCGAAGCTTTCATAAGATATATGTAGGACACTTTCATGGCAATGATTAGTTTGTCAAACACATCAATACCTGTCTGATGTTTACAAAAGGTTTCAGTACTGTTTTCTTGATTGTGATTGTTTACTTCAGGTTTTTCCAGATGAAAAATAAAAGTTAGAACAAAGTTAGATGCGTATGGTTGTCATTGCAAATTCATACGTAAGCACACGTTTATTGCTCTCAGCCTACTACCATTTTGAGTCAATATGGACTTCACAAGTATGGTGCCTTGTATCTGTGATTTAGGTTGAGGTTTGTATATATAGTTATTCTTTATTACGTTGATTACAAGGGAAGCATTAATAGTTTGGTGAAATGAAGCTTGCCGCTTATGGGTAAATAAACTTTTGGAATAATGGTGGTTGTGAAAAGAGAGTTAACTTGAAGATAATTGCATATGAGCTAAGAAGGTGAAATCATAAAATTTTTAAAAGTATTTTTAGATGCTGCTGTATGTGCCTAGTTGGAATTATGAGGACTCCATTCTGAAGGTTGACAACTGTTAGCACGTATGTTGAGCTATTCTAAATGCATTAGTTCTAAAATAAAATTGCATGTGCTGCTTAAAATGTATTTTGTACCTCTAGACTCAATAAAATTGTGACAGAATCTTATGGGAGAGAAATTGTATAAAAATTTTGAGTGGCTTCAACATTAGAATGTCTTTCTGTTGGACAATTTTCACTGTATTTAAATTAATTAAATTCTGTTGTGTACTAAACAACAACCAGAATATAAAGAAATAAAGAAAAGGAGAGAATATGTTTGATTACAAAAATCAAACTTGAAATAAAAATATATAAATAAAAAACAGATTTTATTTTGTTACAAAAACAAAATTAAAATCTGAATAAATAAACAAATAAAAACAACACTGAAAGTAATTAAATAACTTACTTGATTTAATTTCTTCGAATTATTTACTGATCAAGTCCAGTGTTTGACACTGTGTCCTTAAGACAGATTCGTCACTATGTTATGCGCACAGCAAACAAGTATAGACCAAATCGCCTAAATTGGAACAAAACATTGCATGTTCGTTTTGAAGATGGTTTGTTACTCGCAAGTAGGCTAAAATGCAGGTTTTGCCACCCTCAAGTGGGCTTTTAGAAAGGATGATTTTGCCACTATCTAGTGGGCTTAAAACTCACAGTTTTAATGCATTATTCCAATTTAGGTAATTCAACCTCCATCCACAGGCATTCAAGCAGTTATATCACATAAGCAGCTAGCCTCATGGTAATCATACTGTCATGGCAACACTCACACGCATGCAGTATGCTAAAGCATAAATACTTACAATGTACTCCGTGCCAAAATAATAAACTAGTTAGCAAACATACGTGATCCTAGTTCATTTTCAAATGTCTAATACAACACATACAGGATGCAGTTAGAATAGGCTCGGCTAATCTAAACATGGCATGTGAAATGCAATCAATTAATGCACGTATTCAATTCGGAATTGAAATACAAATGCAGTTAGAATGATGTACCGAGCCCGGTGCATGTAAAACAAATGGATGAATGCACGCATGCATAGCATAAGGTATGCTAAATTAAACATGTCCTAATACTAACCACCATAAGCTGGTAAATAAAAGGGAAGAAAGACGTGGGGTTGGAAGACATACACACACTCACGCACACTTATTACACAATTGCCCTCACTCGGAGGGTCCGAATAAATATTGCAGTACGAATAATAAACAAATAAATTATTACAGAATTTCTAATTAATTATCAGAATAAATGCAAGAAGAGAAGTGGCCACGACCCTGCCTCGGGATGCGCGAATGATGCATGCTCGAACCCGTCTCGCCCGAAAACCCATACCATAACTCTGCCACCTCTGTTTATACTGCCCTGTCTCTCTGAAAATTGCCAAAACTCCAGGACAAGTTCCTTGCATGCTGCAGAGCACCACCGGCTAGGGGAAATTCCCAACGGCAGTTCACAACTCCCATCGGCTGTTTATTAGGTCACCGGCATTTCAAAAAGTGTCGGTCGGCACTAAATTCTGCCGGTCGGTAGAAGCTCCCTGCAGAAGACAGTTTTGACAGCAACAGAGAATAGACAGCATATGGCATAGAATTTCAGGCACATGTATGCATGGACACACTCCCTATCATGTAATGGACTCAAGGGAACATGGCCCTCGACCCTCGGGCCACCAATCACGCATTTCGATGCATGATGGCCAAAGAGTCAAGTATGCATTTCAATGTCAAATGAAATGCACACAAAACATACAAAGGGGCACCAACCTCCATTATGTTTGATCAAGAGGGATGGGATGCAAACATGCAAGCAAGAGTAATGCAACATGAGCATGTCATATTATGCAAACCGTGAACTATTCAACAAGCATGCAACAATGTCATGTGACCAAGGATGCCTCAAAACAGTCCCTAAGCATGCCATAACAATGCCAAAACCATGCTTAAACACAAGCAATACATGCTAGAATGAAAGGGTAAAATGTCAAGCAAAGTAGGCCAATAAGCATGATTTACACTACAAGTGCAAGAAGCAAATGAGGGATGCTCTAACCAAGACAACTCGAAATGCGTGCACGCGTGCACGCAAACCGAGGACCGATCCTCAGGCACCAAAATGCCACTCTAATGAGACATGGCAAAGACATGGAATATGATATGCAAACATTCAAAAATCAGTAGCAAAATGAGGGGCAAACAGCCCCGAAACGAGGCGAAATGACACCCGATGCATGGAATTTCTCCCGAAATGCAAAACTAGGTACATGAAATGGCTTACAGCTATACAAAGCATGCATAATTGGTACATGGAATGAAAATACAGAAGTAAGGCAGCCCCAAAATAAGCATTTTACTAGTACAAATCATGGCCAAACAGCAAGCAAAGATAGGGAAAAACCAGTATGCAAAAATGGCCCTAAATATGAGGTTATGAAGCAACTCACAGCTGCTGACCCCAAACAGGTTAGGGCCCTTCAATAACATTGAAGAGGGGCCCAAAATAAGCACATTTACAGAACTGTAAAAACCCCAAAAACAAATATAGATATGGCTAAGCTCTTATGCAAGAAAAGGGGCCAAAAGGTGGCCAAAGAGGCAAGTGGTATCATAAACTGTATTAGAAATCATGCATGATCCTAAGTATACAGAAATGCCTAATGCAACGCATGCAAAATGCAACTATAGCAGGCTCGGCTATTCTAAACATGGCACATGAA